GATGGATTGGCCAGGTGGCATCATTGATGGTGTCAAGTGTGGCAGCGGTAGTGAGGTTGGCCCAGGATCGGACATTGTTTCGTTCTGCTGTGCATAGGGTCACTATGAGTCGGTTCTGACTCGATGGCACCTGACAACAACAACAACAACAGTCACCATGCTAAGGAGGAAAATAAAAATATCCTCAACAAGGATAGCTTTGAAAAATAAGACTGGAATCCCTGAGCGCTGCCTAAAATAGATGAATAAATTGAGATTTGAATGAATACTTAACATGAGAACTGACACTCCTGGAGGATGTGGGGTTGGCATCCTAACATGACACAGGGCGAGGAGTCGCTAAGTGTGTTATATGAAGTCACCTATTATAGGCTGGTTCTGTTGAGCCTTTCTCTGAGGCTGGAACAAGTCTCTGCTTCTTTCTCCACTGGGAAGGCTCTCAGATTTCCTCCAGGTATCACCTGTGATACCATGATCTTAGAAGCAAAAGGGCTTTATTGGGTGTGTTTGTGGCCTGGTGTTCTTACTAACGCTCTGGAAAAACTACATTGGATCAGCATTCCCTGGCAGGCTCTTTAATTCCAGGTAAAAGTTTGTTATCAACACCAGATAGTATAGAGAAGAACTTGAAGGGCTTTCAGAATACAGTAAACAAGAGATGGCACAACAACCAGAGTTTCTTAGATTCACTGGTTCAAGGGAGTGAAATCATGTGCCCACCATCAAGAAGATGAACTGTTGTTGCTTGGAGTTGTTGAGTCATATATGACTCATGGTGACCCAGCTGATAGAGAACCCCATGGGTTTTCCTTGGGTGTAGTCTTTACAGAAGCAGGTCCTTCCTCTGTACAGTTCTGGGCAGATTCAAACTGCTAAACTTTTGGCTAGTGGTTGAGCACTTAACTCTTTGTGTCAACTGGGAATAAAACCGGCAATATAGTACATCTATCAAAGACACACACATACACATTCTTTCCCTACTAATAGCTTGGTCCTAAAGCTCCTAACCATGATGCCACACCAGGGAGCAATTCTATGGAACAGGACTATATATATATATTACATCTTTGATAGATGTACTATATTGCCATGGACTGCCAAAAGAACCAATAGATCTGTTTTGGAAGAAGTACAGCCGGAGTGCTCCTTGGAGGCCAGGATGGCTAAGCTTCGTCTCTCCTACTTTGGACATATTGTCCGGAGGAAACAATCGTTGGAGAAGGATGTCATGCTG